TTAGCCAGGATGGTCTCGATCTCCTGACCTCGTGATCCGCCCATCTCGGCCTCCCAAAGTGCTGGGATTACAGGCTTGAGCCACCGCGCCTGGCGCAGATTTTTTTTAAAGCATCAGTTTGGTGAAAAACCAATCAAGTAGATTTTAAGGCAGTGTTACTCTGCCAATCACCAGCATAAGAATCTGCTGTGAAGCTTGTTGAACATACAGATTCCTGAGACCCACATTAGACCATCCCTGGAATTAGAATCTCACAGTGCAATCTAGCTCTCCAGGTAATTTTGATACACACTAAAGCTTGAGAAAACATAGATCTATGGTAAATTGATAGATAAGTGCAATGGTTTAAAATCACAGATTCAAGAAAGTGTTTACTTGTGGGGAGAAGGGGTTTTAGGAGGACCACACAGAGAACCTTGAATATATTTTTCATTTTGCCAGGCATTGTTTTAGGTATACTTCATGCTCATTTAATCATCTTAAAGCCCAACTAATAAATATGCTTATGTTTTTAAGGTTGAGAAAATGGAAGCACAGAAATTCAAGTATTTTGTCCAGGATTACACAGCCAGTAAAAGCTAAGCCAAGATTCCAACATCATTCACTGCCTCTAGAGTCCAAGATGGTTTTTTGTTTGTTTTTTGTTTTGCTTTGTTTTGAGACAGGGTCTCACTCTGTCACCTAGGCTGGAGCCCAGTGGAGCCATCGCAGTTCACTGCAGCCTGGATCTCCTGGCTCAAATGATCCTCCTGCCTCAGCCTCTTGAGTAGCTGGGACTATGGGCACAGGCCACCATACCCAGCTAATTTTTAATTTTTTTTTTTTTTTTTTGAGTCAGGGTCTCACTCTGTTGCCCAGGCTGGAGTGGAGTGGTGCAATCTTGGCTCACCGCAACCTTCACCTCCTGGGCTCAAGCAATTCTTCTGCCTCAGCCTTCCAAGTACCTGGGATTAGAGGCACGTGCCACCACACCTGGCTGATTTTTGTATTTTTAGTAGAGACAGGGTTTTAC